CTGACTCAAAAGCACAAAAAAAAAAAAGAAAAGAAAAAAGAAAAAGAAAAAAGAAAAAAGAAAAAAAGCTAGTATTCAAAACCATGCAGATTACATTAATACTTACTGAACTTACTTGAAGTTAGATAGCAGTGGAAACAGAAAGAAGGGAGAAAAGGAATGTTAGTAAGTCTGATTACAGACATTTAATCTTTATTGTATGTTTTATATCAAACTATATAAGATACACCATGGAGAAAGGAAAAGATTTAATCTGGAAGAGAAAGATACAGTATAACATTGAAAAACTGTATATTTTTAAGATTAGTTTGCAACTTACCTTTGTACATTGACTCAGATAATTCAGAATGCTCTTTAATTTTTTTAACAAAATGGATATCATATACAAGATTTGAAATCTGACTGTTTTGTTTCAAATCAATTTCCAGTAATAAACTATTTTGAAATGCTTTAGAGTTGGTGATATGTGATGTTCTAGATTTTTTGGACATTTTTTATGATATATGCCGTGTTTTTATTGTATTTTGTAAGCCACCCAGAGTCATAACAAATTAGGATAGCCCATAAATCTTATAATAAATAAAATCTGCACATTTTGGCAATACAACCAGTGACAGAACATGCCCTATATTAGCATTTGTTTTAGTAACAGAAAACATTTAATTAATTATAAATTCCCTTAATTCCAGCACCTTGGCATATAACTCAAGGCCACAGTTAAGAAGCCCCTGCTCCATAAAACAAATCACATGGAAAAATAATGGAATAATCAAGGCCCTTATAACATACAAATTGCAAAAAAAAAAGTATGTTTGAAGCAAACATAATTATGCTATTACAGCAGAACCATGCAATGTCCAGAAAAGAAGAATTGATTGCTTCCCAAAAAAGGCATTTAAACATCTAAAGCTGTCTAAGGTCATTAGATTAGATGATTCACTTACTTTCATTAGCAACAGTTTCACAAAACTTTGAGCAGAAATGTTTTCTGGCAATACTGCCTAAAATCATTAACTGGAACAAAGGAAACTGCCTCATACAAGTTCAGTCTATTTATCCATCCATCTTATTATGATAGACAGACAGACAGTTGTTATTTTCCAAGTTCCAGGCACTGGTGAATCATCTGCTACCTGATCTTTAAGCTAGATGGTCTCCAAGCAAAGCATATACTCTATCACTGAACTAAACTCGAAGGAAGAGTTCAGTGTTTGGAGAAGATGTTCTCTTATTTTCTTTTGAAGTTGCTCTATTAAACACACAAGTGATCTTGGAAATGCAGAACTAACAGAAGATTCAAAAAGTGCTTAGAGTCAATGTTTCAAAACCATATTGTTTATTTTCAAATTTATTGGTGGCACTTACCACTGCTATGTCGAGGTAGATCTGGAAGGACCACACCAAAATTGTTGGTTGTTCCTTCCTGAATGACAGAATGTTGAGGAATGCCAATTGGTTGAGAGGGAGTCTGTGAAGTTTTTGAAGAGGAGGATCTTTCTAAGAAAAAAAAAATGTATACTCAATAAATAATTTAAAATGTCCTAAGGTACTTTTTGAGCCTTTTTAGCAGGTGTTAGTCACTTACATCTCACTTCTTTACATCTTGTTCTATGCAATCAGGCAACAAAAATACTGAACCAAATTCCATTTGACTGAATATTCTACTGATGTTGCTTTGTTTAATTGCTGCTACTTAAGGAAAGCTCCCACCTGAAAGTTAGTTGATGGAATAAGCTCAGAAGAGACTTTGAGCATCCACAAGCAAAGATGTATATCAAAGTGACATGTTTAAAAAATGCCCTTCCACATATGGAATATCTTTGATAGAGTTGCTCATGGGATGGGGAATCTGATTCTCACCCTGTCTTGGCATTTCCCCTGCTGCTCTGGGGAGTGAGAAGGAACTGTTTGTTATAGTAACCTGCAGAGGAAACCTGTTGAGACGATTTGGGACTTGTAAGTGAGCAAGTATCAAAAGTGCCTATTCTGTGAATAGATATCTACACAGAGTTTTAGCAGCCAACCCACCTGCTGGTCCTGAGTAAGGAATTTCAACCATACAACAGACACTATAGACAATATAGCTTGCTCTGGGGGAGAAACATGTCAGAGGTTTTCACATATACAAACTTCAGAAAAATGTGTCACCTGAAATATATTTCAGGGAATGATCAGTAGTATAACAAAAAGTTTCTTACCTTTGCTAGTACGGAAAGTAAGCATGGAAGGCTGACCTTCACCAGCATCATTTCTTGCAACCATCAAAACTTCATATAGACTGGAAGGTTCCAGTTCTGTAAGACTAAGTTCATTTTCACTTCCAGGGACACGAATTGTATACCAATTAGTAACATTGCCATCCAACTGTAAAAAGGAGAATCAAAAAAGGCTAAGAGCAAAGAAAACACTCTATAAATCTGCTTCATTTAAATAAGGGGATAGGCATGCTAAAATATAATGTAAGATTCCATTTATCTTACTATAGGAAGATGTCAACAAGGTACTTAAATGCTATATAACCTTTATCGGATTCCATGCTTATAACTGACACATCAACAGAAGTACAGGTAGTCTTTGAGGTATGATGATAATCGGGCCCGGAATTTCTGTCACTAAGTGATGCAGTTGTAAAGTGCAATGCCACATGACCATATCGCTTAGCAACGGCAATCCCAGCTGTCCCCACTGCCGTCAGTAACCAAATCCCACTGGTTGTCAGGTAAGGACCCACCCCGATCCAAGCCATTCCTGGCTTGATCTCTCCCAGCCTCAATAAGGTAAGGGAGTGCCTCCTCTTCAGCTTCCTCCACTCATCTATCTCCCTCCCCCATCTCTGCTCTTTTCGCCACCCTGCACAGTGGCACTTCTCGGCGGTGGGGCTGAGGCTGAATTAGAGGCCCAGGGCCTTCAGCAGTCTCAGCCAGCTGCTGCTGCCCCCAGGCCTCTATTTCAGCTCCAGTGCCACTGGAGCCCCCACCAAGGAGTGCTGCCTCAAGCCCCACACTGTGACCAGGCACCCCAGTGCAAAGCCCTGGCCTCTGCAGGCTCTGCTACACCCAGCTGACCTTCACTGTCTTCCTCCCTTTCAGCAGTCTCAGCCAGCTGCCACTGCCTCCCAGTGCCGATGAGGCACAAGTGGCCTGGCCCTAATGTGAGGCAGCTGCTGGCTATGCCAGGCCTTCTTCCCGAGGCTGCATGTGCCTTTCTTGTGATGCTCTGGAAGGTTTCTGAGGCCTTCTGAAATCTCATGAGAGGGCCACACCCACTGTTCTCCAAATAGCACATACTGTTCTCCAAGTCACATGCGCCGTTCTCGTGATAGTTCAGAAAGTCTTCAGAAAGCTTCTGAGGCCTTCTGATGTATTGTGAGAATGGCACACATCTCAGGAAGAAGGCCTGGAGCAGCCAGCAGCTGCCTCGCATAGGGCCAGGCGTGCCATCAGCAGCAGGAGATGGTGGCAGCTGGCTGCTGCTGAAAGCCCCGAGCCTCTACTTCAGCCCCAGTGCTGCCACCGCTGAGGAGTGCCGCTGTACAGGGCAGTCAAAAGGGCAGAACTGGGGGGGAGATTGGTGGGTGGGGGGAGTTGAAGTGCCCCTGTGGTTTAAGTGTGAGTGGGCTGCCAAGCACCCAAATTTTGATCACATGACTGCGGGGGTGCTGCAACAGCTGTAACTTTGGGAACTGGGTGTAAGTACCATTCGTTCAGCACCGCTGTAACTTCAAACAGTCACTGAATGAATGGTTGTTAAGCAAGGACTACCTGTAATGAAGAGAAAATATATGCTTAATTATTTGCTTTGCAATACGTAGGAAATAGTTTGAGGAACAGGAGAAAAAGATCTGTATGTAATAAAGTATCGCTGTTTTTCCTGATGGCTCTTATCTCTTCTCCATGCCTAAATTGGAGAGGCATTGTGGCTTGAACTTATCTGCATGTGACTGCTGGTCAAGTCACTGAAGGAATTCTACACAAGTTCACAACTGTTTTTTACTAAAAACCAAAAGCTGAGTTTTAAGCACTTGAAAATTCTGAACAAATGTTCTGAAAGCCTTAGTTCTCAGATACTTTTTGTGGGTGTGGAAGGTGTGGCAGGGGGAGGATTAGTAAATGAGGAAAAGGAGGAATGTGGAAAGGAGGTCTTGAAGAATTTACCACATGTATTTAAAGAGTAATGTAACTGGCATCCTTAAACATATTCTTATCTAACATACATTGTGTACAATTTATAATCTTGCACTTCACCCAAAAGAAAAAAAAAATCACCAAATGAACAGTCTTTAATATCAAATAAAAATTATGAGAGACTTAATAAAATACACAAGTAAAATGCAACTACAAACTGAGTAAATGAATGGAAAAGGGTTTGGGCTATAAATTGAACGTGATATTTAAATAAAATAAACACTGCTAGATACAAAATTATATAAGACACTCCCTTTGAAATTTCAGGAATTCGGTTAATTAAATTAGAATATACTTTGTTTCTAGTTCTAATATCAGAATGATATCAAAAACTTAATTTTACAGAAAGTCCTTTGGCTAAGGTTTAGGGAAACACCTTGCTGATTCTAATGTTGAATTGTATCATTTATAGATCTAGTGTCTAGCTACCAAAACTCTATTTAAAAACAAAAGCACAGAAAAAATGAAATGCTTAGGTTCTCCACAAAAGTTCCTTTACATATTACAAAATGTAAGTTTCAATCTCTTTGTAATACAAGGCTGAAACATATTTAAATCAAGCCAACTTTCATCAATCACTATTACCACCAATGCTTTAAACTGATTTAGAGCAGCACCCTATTTTTTTCTCTTTTTATGATTACTATCAGGATACTGTAGCTTTCCAAGTTTTTTTTAAACCATAAAAACTAATCTTTGCTTTTTACAGAATACCAGGATAGTCTTACCTTGCGATATTTCACAAAATAAACATTAATTGGCCGACCACCATCCTTTCCAGATCGCCAGACCAGGTTATACTGGTCTGGCTTAAGCGTTTGTGGAGGGCTGAGAATGATAGGAGCTTCTGGTGGGGAAATGCCACTGGATGTTTTTTCTGTAGCAATTTTGTCAGTAAGAATCTTGGCTGGAGATGTATTGGGGAGGCCCATTTCTGAATCAAAATCTCCATCTCCATCATCATTCTGGGCAACTTCAAAAGGAGGAACTTCTGCTTTTGTACTAGCTTCATAGGAAACTACAGAAGAATTTGAAGATTAAAGATATGCATGGGCTCAAACATCTTTACAAATGACACTTAAGTCTTAATATAGACTTATTATACTATCCTTTCTCCCATCTACATTTCTTCATAACTGAATAAATGTATAATATCACAAAGTGATTTATTACTTAAATCTCTCTCTCTTTTTTTTAGAAAGGATGGAGAGTAGATTATAGCAGCAAACAAGAACAGCTTTTTATCCCTTTGTAATGGTCCATTTGGTTTCTAAATTCTTATAAACATGGCTAACTATATGTTGAAAATAATGCTAAGAAATGCTAAAAATTCTTCAAGTACTCTGATATTACTAATCTTTCCAAAACTGACAGAAGCCAATTGCACCCCCCCCAAAAAAGCGGGGGGGGGGGACAAAATATAGTGCCTTCAGGAACTTGTCAGTAACTTCATGGGCCAATATCATGATACCTGCTTACAAGTCAAGTATAGAAAGGATTCTGCAGCAGATGACACTTCTGAGTTGTGGGTACATTTAAAATTCTGAGAGCACATTGCGAGTATTATCACAAAATGTCTCATTGTGGGAATGGCTACTAAAAAAACACGAAATTAACAAAAAGCAAATGGATGATGTTGCTGCCTGGCACTTCCTATTACCCCTAAGTTGTTGTGGTCACATTTCCACGTACCTGGAATCTCTGTCAGACTGTCTCTGTGGCCTGTTCAGGGCCAGAGACATTCTTATAAATAAAAATGATGCTGATGCTTTGCAACATACCAACTTCCCACAATTTTAAAAAATTAATCTAAAGAATTGGGGGAATAGTCACAAATGGAGTTGCCTTTAAGCGTAGTGATACCCAGGACATCACCTTGTTTATTTATTTATGCTATTTCCCAGGACTCACTTTGTAATTGTGACACATGCCTAATCATATTTATGGTTTCAGATTATTGCATTTTTTTAGTTTAGAAAAGAAAGGATTTATAAAATAAACATTTCATTGTGCAACACTTTTTGCCTGGCCGCCTACCTCTGCTGAAATACTAAGCAGTTTGCTGTTGGCAGCTGATTCATTAAAAATGAAGGAGGAAGAAAGTTTGCTTCTGTCACAGTGAACACTAAAGGGTCAGCAACATTACTAAGTTGAACCTCACTGACCTCAAAACATCAACACAACAAACTTATTATAATCTCAAGTCTGTTATTCTAAATGCTGATTATATAGGCTACAATTTTAAAAATGGACAACTAAATATGGTTTAAATAATTCATCTAATTTGGCTCAGAACAAAGGGCTGACACAGAAAGATCATGTTTCAGATGGATGAAAGCAAGTAGAAATAGAAATCTGATGGGTATAAAATCTGTATGAGTTTACAATGTGGCAATTCCTAGGCATTCAGTTAGTCCAAACTTGCTCTCAAATGCCCCAAATACTTGCACACTATTTAGTTAGGCAACTTGGATGGCACTCACCAACTGTAAGGAAAGCCTCTGAATGAGCAAGCCCATGATCATTTGTTGCTTCACACACATATTTCCCAGCATGCTTTGATGTAACAGGCTGGATATATAAGGAACTTGACCCACTGCGAGACATAATGAAGTAGGCTCTGTCTGCAATGGAGTTATCAGTTCTTGCCTGGGGGGATGACTTCTGTGATTTTGAGTAGAGCACCTGTGAAGGATGGGTGGTAATTACTCCATGCCTGTTGTACCAACGGATTACAGGGGTAGGCAATCCAGTGGCATTACACCACAATGATACTGTGTCACCCTCTATCACTTTGGTGCTTGCTGGCAATGATGTTATAACTGGCTTGGAACTTTTGTCTATTTAAAAAATGAAAACAGAGAAAAATACAATTTATTATTCATCCATATACAGACATTCAGACATCCACAGAAAAGAGCTTCAAAGAATAATATGCAATAATAATCTTCTGACTGTACACATATAGATTGCTTTGAGCCACAAATATATCTTCTGGCCCAGATATTATTACAATAATAGATCTTGTCAAGAGAACTGAACTATCATCAGGGACTAAGTGTATAGAAGAAACTTAGACTAGTAGGGGGGAAAAAGGGGAGAGTGCTATTTTTGTTTATTTTAAACACTTACATACTGCTTAAATTACCTCAAAGCAGTTAGGGATCAAATTAATTACCTTATAATATTTGTTAAAAAACAAAGAGAAGAACAAGGGCATGAAAAGGGTATGAATGGGAAAAAAGGAATGTGGATCTTCAAATGTTGTAGGGAACAACACTCCAAACAGTAGGCATCAGTTCTGAGAACTTTAATACACAAGTGACCACAGGATTTTGTGCCATCTGTAGTAAAAGCTCCTTGGATAGTTTTAGAGATCAGGCAGGTTTACAATGGGAAAGATTTCCTAGCAGGTGTCAGAAATTGGCCAGCATTTACAATGTGATGCATAATTTATTGATCAAGATTTACTCGCTAGAATAGCCCACAAAGCAAACAGGACATTTTTGTATAGAATAAAGGAGAATAGAAAAAATGCATGATATACTTTTTACCTGCTTGGGAATGAAATCTCCCAGTGGACTGTGAAAATCCAATGCCATTGTTTACTAAACACTGATACAATCCTGTGTCTTCTGTGGTGATTTGATTTATTCTGAGTTTGTTTCCTGAAAGTAAGTGCCGTGAAGAAAGACGGACAGGAATTGCATTATGGTACCAGGTAAGATTGGGTAAAGGGTTTCCATGTATTTCACAGGAAAGATGCAAATTTTTGCCCCAAGACACTAGCTGATTCTGCAATCCTCTTGATATAGAAGCAGGTTCTAAAACAAACAAAAAAAGGAAGCATGATATTCTGTCTCATTCTGATATAGCAGCAACATTTTGACTCTAAATTTGTAAATTAAAATTGTCATCATACCAAGCACATTTATGCTGTAGTTGACATATTTCACAACTCCAGAATTATTTTGCACTACGCAGGAATAATTTCCAGCATCAGATACATCCACAGAATCAATGGTAAGATGGGAGTGAAACGGCTTCCATCTGCTCTGAATTAGCACATCTCTGCCATCTTTATACCAGTGAATGTAAGAAATAGGCAGCCCACTAACTATACACTCCAACATCAGAGGTCTGTGTTGAGGTATTGCCAATGCCTGAGAACTGGTTGGATGAACAATATGAAAATCCGCTGAGGAAGAGTCTGCAAATTGAGGAAAAAGTTAGCATGAGTTTTTCTAATTTGATAACTCAAATTCCTTGGATTCCTAACTTGTTTATACCCAAAACTATTTTGCTTGTTTGCCATGCTTATGTACTTTGTCATAACTATCCACTGTTGACCTTAGCTCACAACAGATAACATTTAATTGTAATCTGTTATCTGATAATTGCTAAATTTAAAACATGTAAAGAACCTAAGTTTTAATTGCCAAGCTTATTCTACCATCTAGAACAGTCATTATTATGGTTTATTTGTTTGTTTATTTATTAAATTTGTACGCTGCCCATCTCCCCCAGAGGGTGACTCTGGGTGGTTCAGTTAGAGTAGAACTAGAAAACAATTAAAAAAATAAATACCCACATTAATTAGTTAAAAGTCAGACTGTATAAAAAAAAGAACCTATACATAAAAAGACTAAAAACATTCAAGATGATGGGGGTTAGAATCGATTACCCCACAAGCCACTTCCACTGGTGCGGGCCTCCATCCAGCCCGCAGGCCATCTGGCATAGCCAAGATTTCACGCTCGCCCTGAAGGCCATGAGAGTGGGGGCACACTGCACCTCAGTGTGCTTATCATACTTCACACCTCACCTGTTTTGAACTACTTTAACATGGGAAGCTGCCTTATAGCAAACCATTCTATTAGTCTATCAGAGCACCCCAGGTTTTATTCACCCTTTCCCAATTCTAGCTGGACATGCTATGGGCTGGAGCCCTAGATACATACAAAACTGTTACTGTTTCCCATGATATGCAAATCCAGCTTTTAATAACAGCTAATATTAGTTACAGGCTAGAAATGCTTTACGTCCTTAACCCTGGGAATACTCATTCAGATACAGCATTTAACAATGATGAAGATAAATACTGGTAATGAAGTATTCAGGTAGTGGCCTGAAGATAATCTGGAAGGATTTTCCTCAAGCAAACATTCAGCCAAATTAGATGGACTAAAGATCTAGCAAAGCAGTGGCACTGCACATTGACATTTATTTTTACTTCTGTTACATGTAATACTCACTACTGATTATGAGCTTATGTCCAGTAGGTTCAAGTTTGAGATCATCAGTAACTGGGTTATATGCTGCACACTTATAAATTCCCTTGTCATCTGAAGATACATTCAAAATTTGCAGATTTCCAGATGGGAGAATAAGGTAGTTTTCTAATAAAATAAAAGTGGAGTTATTTTTAATTAGAATACAAAGAATATAAACTGACTTCCTACTGAGTAAAATACTCAGTGTTTAACTTGTATCATACTTTAAAATGCAAATATAATGCAAAGTTCAAATTAATTCTTGTAGCAGTTCTCAATGATAAGCTAAGGGACACAGAAACTTACCTGTTGATTGTTCCAGCCATTTTCCCCGTACACGGAAACGAACCTGTGCTTTCGGACTGCTTTTTGGTAGCTTGCAACCTATTACAGCAGTATTCCCTTCTTCCACGGAAATTGTGTTTCTCCATGAAGTTTCAAAATCATCAAGATCTAGAAAAAATGAAACTTTTTTTTACTTTCAACTTTTGGTAGACTGTGTATATCTTTATCAAAACTGTTTTACTTAATAAAAATTGGTATTTTCAGCTGAAAGGATGCTATGCTGAGTCTCCCCTTCTTAAAAAATAAGAAAACAGCAAGTCTCGTATGTATTCTCAACCCCAGTAATTTGGCTGGATAATTATAAATCCAGCTGCAAGAGTACCTTAATGGATAAGCTCCAGTTTGTCAGGTTCTCTACAAAACTGAGAATCTCTGGTTTTTTACAATGCTGAAAGGATTGCTAGGTTAAGTGTGGAACTCTAGGTTTTGAAAGAATATAATTTCCTAACTGGTTAAGGAGGGAACAGGAAGAGCTTTAACCCAACTACCTATCTGACTAGTATCACAGTGCCCAAGTGATGCAGGGCTTGCCCCATTTACAAAATACTTTTCCTCAGCCAACCCGTTCCCTGTGAGACTGGACTGATGAGGACAATTACTAGTGGTGCTCTATGTTGCCCTTCAGAGGGTTATTTATTGTACCTACATTACATCCATGTTATGGATTATGCCAGACAGAGCGGTTAAATTTTACATACTTTATAATTTATCAGATTTAACATCTAGCCATTTTGAATAGAGTCACCTTGTGCCCTTTTTGCACTATGTAACAGCAGCTGACTAAAGTAGCAAATTAATCAATTAACTAATTTACTTTGGTAGATACTGGGATATCAACAGAATCTTAACACATAGTCAACATGTTTGCCAATAAAACATCCTTTTAATGTCTGTGTTTTCTATCCTAGTCTACCATAAGTAACTGATAACTATAACTTGAGAAATCTCTAATTTGCTTAAATGCCAATTCAATACAGTACTGGTCCTACTACAGCCATTTCATCAGCAATTAGTACAATACAAAAGGCACTTAATGTATTCACAGTTTTCTACAGTTCTTAGCATCTGTAAGTACCAACTAATGTTCATAAGCTCTCAAGAGAATCTTGCTATGGGTCAGTACTCTATAAAAACATTTATCCTTCTCAATTATGAGAAGTTTTTCTCTTATGGGTATTTTGGACATGCTTCAAAAGCAAAGTATATTTATAATGGAAATGTATCAAGTTCAGGCATAAGAAAGGAATAATTCAGACATTTTATTTCTGATCCCAAATAGTCAAATTACCCTCCACTCAGAAATAAGTCTTCTGTGCAGATGGGGGCGGGGAGGGGAAGGAGGCATGGAATCTTTGTTTGTACATTTTTTAAATTACCAGGTGATCATTTGCAGGGTTGAAATGAGTTGTAAAATGTAGTTAATAATTGGGCTCCGCAAAACTTCATATTTGAAGGCAGAAAAATATAGCACCTGCCTAAAACTCCTTAAAGAAGCCACTTTTTACTGGGATCAGGTGGCTGCATTCTGCCCAGGAAAAGACATGTTTAATTTGAGGAGTTGTAGAATGGTACTCTGTTCTTATGGGGATGTGGTGGCGCAGCGGCTTAATACCGCTGGAAGTTGCTGGCCAGAAACGGGCGACACTTCAGCAGTTCGAGCCCAGCTCCATGCAGCAGAGTGAGCTCCTGTTTCATCCTTAGCTTCTGCCAACCCAGCAGCTCGAAAGCATCTGTGAGTAGATAAATGGGTACTCTCACCCCAGTGGGAGGAAAAACATTGGCGGCGCCTTGTATGGGAGACGGGACCACTTGCTGGTAACGCGGAAGTCACGTACGTCGGAAAAAGATGCGAAGCAACGGAAATCCCGCCTTCCTGTGTCTGCCAGCTGGGCTCCACCCTAGGAAGGAGGCAGTGGCAAACCACTTCCGAAAAGCCTTGCCATGAAAACTGCAGGGACTCGTCCAGGCAGTCGCCGCAGAATCGGTCATGATTGAGTGCGGGGGGTGGGGGGGAAGCCCCTCTGTTCTTACCCCTGTGTATCCCTGTCTGAAGCAGCTTTTTTTTTCATACGCAAAGCACAGCACAGCTTTAACTTATAATTAAGTGGAATAATCAGGTTAGCACCCTGAAGTTGCTCCCAGAGGTCAATCATTTATTTATACCATCTATCCTTTGGATTATATTATTTATTTCTGATTACTTTTATTGTATTTTAATTGGTTTTTATTTCTATTTTATTGTAAACTGCCCAGAGTCGCTCACTGAATGAGATGGGCGGTGACTAAACTTGAAATATAAAGAAATAAAATAATCGCTATGGGATGAATAAACTTTTATTAACAAAAAAGTTAGTTTGTTTCTCCCTTCCAAGTAAGAAGTAATTAAAATTCTTTGTTTAAAAGTCAGATATATATTTAAGTAGAGCTTCATATAGATTTCACTTTGTGTAAACATTTGTTCCAGTCTGTGTTTAAAAAAGAATTTTTATAAGCTTCTTTCTAGATCAATTCAGATACATCCATACAATTTTAGTTCACTCTAATTTTATGCCGTGACTATGCGATCATGTCCTGCTCTGAAATAAGGTTTGTTTAGAGATACAAAGTGCTCACATACATTTGGCCAATAGGAAGAATAAAATTTTTATGAAGTGTACAGTTTCACCATCAATTAGAATATAACTTACATGCTATAGACACTGTTGCAGGCCTGCTGATTATTGCACCAATACTGTTATTAGCAACACACTGGTAGGTACCAGAATTTGAAGGACTAAGAGAGAAAATGGTCAGGGAACCTGGCTGTGGGTCTACTTGCTCTATTTTCTTATGCAATTTCTCTCCATTGAATATCCAAGAGAGATGAGCTGTAGAGGGTTCAGCAGAACAGTAAAGTTTTATCGTTGCACCTGGCTTCTGGACAGTAGAAAGAGGTTCAGAAACAAAGTGAGGAATCAAATCTAGGGAGGGAAAAAAAAAGACACACAAGTATGGTGATTTTATCATGACTGTCAAATACTGGCAGACATGTATCAGTCTAAAAGAGAACATTAGAAACATATGACTTCAAGGATAGTGAATTTACCTGAAGCTGCAGTTGAAAGGAAAACTGTAAGAAAAAGCAGTTCATGTAAATATCCTGGATCAGGATGCATAATGCCAGGTTACAAAGGCTGATGGCAAAGAGCTTCAGAGTAATATGAATCAATGCAGAACCTACAAAAGAAGAAAATGTAGGTAACATCTTTGAGGCATATTTTTCATGAGTGAAAACGTAAGGCCTAAATATGTATAAAGGTAAATTGGTGTTTGACTTCATGGACACATCCTGGCAACATGACAAAAGTGGCTTGCTATTTCTTCTTCCAGGTGATGCCTGCTAATCTCTTATCTCAAGCACTAACCTGGGCTGATCCTGCTTAGCTTCCAAACCCAGCCAGCTAGGTGTTGACAGCTACATAGTCTCAACCATATGTACCAGAACTAAAACACAAAATGGAAAGCCTTTAATACCATCAGTCTTTTTACTTGCAGAAGCATGTATGAATCCTGTTATTTTTAAGTTCACAGTGCACTCCACAATTCTATAAACAAATTAGCTATCTCACAAAAAGGAAATAATCCCAAATAGCTTCAGCCTAGTTGGCTTCTGCTACTTTTAAACGGTAATATATACATCTTAACACTTGAATTTTTTTCTTCCCATAAGTTCTTTTGTGAAACAAGGAACAAGGGTTTAGGACCATACAGGAAAATATTTTGAAACAATGAATTTATACAAACATATACGCATGGTTCTTTGCCAAAGCTACAATTTTTTAAGTCAGGTTTGAGGGACCTGTGACAACATCTGGTGAGGCACAAGTGGAGATGCACAAGTTCGCCACTCCTCTGTAAACGATAAAAATCAGGAAAGTATACCTAATAAAAGTTCCTAGTTATGAACACTAACCACGGTAAAAATGAACGGTACACAGCTCCATCTTACTTAATTCCAAAGGCATAGAAAAAAATTGAGATCTCTGTGTGATCAATGTGCATAAAAAGGTTATCTCTTATTTCCCCAGCCTATTCCTAAAAAGTAAATCTCACCATGTGAATGAAAAGTTTTAAAATTTGATCTGGTTAAAATTTTCAGCAGAACAAAAGAAAATCCCTAACATTCAGGGATGGGAACAGAATAAGAAGAAAAGCATACCTACCCCTCTTGTCACCACAAAATTTCCTCTCAAAATTCTCTGTACTATATGTAATTAAAGAAAGCTGGAAGGCAAAGTTGTATTCTCAGTATAATATATAGCTTACTCCAGGGCCTCATGGAAAGAATCTATGTGGTAGTTCAATCAATTTGTTTATTTACAATCCCAGACCAAAAAAACACAAGTACAAAATTTTAAATACAAGGACCCCCCCCCGAAACAATTAATAATGAGAAGGGGATATCAACTGGCTTCTGCATGCCATAGATATTGCTAAAAATTTGGCAATCTTTATAGTAGCTGTCCAGATTAGGTTTTGCAGAAAGAAGACTGCAATTTTCAATGTACAATGGGCAATGTAACAATATATGGAGTACACTGACTCAGCTCTGCATCTGAACAGAGAAACAATTGCTGTATGGAAGACTAGCATATTTCCCTATGGTCTCTATAATAAGTAGTGCATCAATTCAAGCTAAGGTAAAAAGTCTATGTGAAATATGGAAAATGTTATACAGGGAGCTAGGAATCATCCATGGAGAACCTGCAGTTGTGCCATAATTGGATGGATGGTTTTGGCCTGCCATTTTGTAGATCTAAATCCCAAATCCTTTATTTAACTTTAATTAAGGCATTAACTGGGCCAAGAAATGATACTGTTATGAGGCCACAATATGCCAAATCAGAATCAATTTACCTCCTCAGAGATGAGGAAAACATATCCAGTAGGGTGAGGTGAACCAAAGGCTCACCCCAGAGTATTTGTTTCAGGCAAAATCTGAGATGGCAAAGTCTCAGGCTGGCCCCAAGAGAAATGCAGCCATGCTTTAACAAAACAAAGGCAAAGGAAGTTGAGTGAGGGATTGAACAGCTTCTAAAGTAGAGCCATCCATATAAACACAACTTTGTGCACCAAATGGCAACAAGCTCAGAACTTTTGCTTTATACAATTTTATTGCTGCAGGAGAGTAATTATTGCCTTGATGACTAGCATATTTTAAGATAGCTCTAGAAACATTTTATTATTTATTTATTTATACAATTTATATTGGGGACGCGGTGGCGCAGCGGCTTAATGACGCCGAAAGTTGCCGGCCAGAAATGGCTGACGCTTCGGCGGTTCGACTCCAGCCTGCTCGTTAAACAGGGTGAGCTTCTGTATCCTCCCCCCAGTTCCTGTCAACCCA